AAAAAAGAAGAAGACACTAATGGAGGCAAGCAGAAAAAGATCCCTGCTCCCAAAAGGGGAGCTTCCAACCCATAAAGTTCTAAAAGTCAGGGCAAAAATTTTGTTAGGTGGAAAAGAAACTTATAGTTTCCAATATTCTGTGCCAATTATTTTCAAATGTTGGATGTCACTTTGAGCTTCCAGTCAGGATTGCACATTCCTCCCAAAATTCTTCACAGCCACTTAGACATAACCACTGGCTGCCCATTTCCAAGGGTTGTTTCCTGCCTTAGCTCTTAGTTCAGTGCATCCAGGTTTGTAATGTCCCATTAAGATTAGCCAGTATGGAAGCCAGGCTGATACATTTTCTTTAAATTGCACATCATGAGCCCTAGGACTCCCAATCTGAGTCCACCAATGCAAGATATGCAGGGCTTAGGTTTGGAGATCTCTTTTCTGCTACTTCCTCAGTCAGGGCATATGAATTGCAAATCACCTGAGGGGGCCTGTTTCCCTCTCCTTGGAATTTGCTGGAAGTTGTTCCTACAAAGTTTTAATGACACAGGGCAAGAATCAGGCTGGGGTTTTACTGAAGGTAAGTGAAAGAGATAGACTCAATGTGATTCTGAATGGTGTGTGTGCATGTATGTGTCTGCAGCTACTAATACAAGCAGGCAATACAACCATCCTGGATAAATTTTCCCTCCCACCAGACAGAAATCCAAGGTGTTCAGGACTTGCTGTGCCAACTACTCCCAAATGCCATCACTCCATAAATATATTCAACTGGCTTATTACAATACAAATGGGACAAGAAAGAAAACCTTACAATGCATTTCCACCCTCCCCCCATAGTCTTCCTAATTTTCTTCTGAGGCTTCACATGGGGACCAATGGCTCCAGGACTCCTTCTTTCTTCTGCAGCTTTTGCAGGCATCTTGGGGAATGGTAGGACTTGGGAAGATCCATTCCACTCTGGTTGTATGGTGGCTTTTTAGTGGATGGCTGGATTCAAAACCCAATTCCATGGCTCAAACTGATGGAGGCAGTGTCTGGTTCAGTGTGCTCTGCTTCCAAAAGTTGGGTGGGGTCATCTGTGTAGGGCTGAAAGACATGAGAACAAGAGCACCTCCCCCCTTTCTGGGTGGACTCTCCCAGGAGAGGCAGACAAAGGCATGGAGAACAGAGATAAGAAAAGGAGAAGTACATGAGGGTGGGGGGTAGCTTGCAGGCAGAGTTTGAGAAGGCATTAATACTGCAGTTGTTAAAGAAACAGATAGGCAGACAAAATGAGGAAATCACAGATGAGGACAAAAGAAAGGCTGGATTCTGGTAAGAGAACATAAATGAAAGGTCTTACTTCTGAACTGGACATTTGTAACATATTAAAGACTTAAGGACTTGCAACTTGAAAAAAATGCTGGGCAGCTTGAGAATGCTGAAAGCTACAAATAATTTTTAAAAGCCTAATATTTTAAAGTGTGCAATTTGTCAGGGGCAGGAGGATCTACCTTTAACATTTATTCTAAAATAGACCACATTATTTTAGAGATTGAGAAATGCTTATATGTTCCAGGATTAGCTTCATAGTAATTTCACCAATTAGTGATAGGATAAAAAAAGTAACTTAAGAAGAAGATTATTTCCCCACACAAGCAAACTTGAGCTTCAGGAGGCTCTTGTAGCTAGACACACCTTATGTTTCAGAAAAAGGATAGGCAGATAAAACCCATTTATAACACATACAGTAAAGGTTTTCCAGCAGATAAACTTAAAACATTCCCTCCTGGTAACTTTGGGCTGTTCTTAAGAGTACAGAGAGAGAAAGGAAAAAGAAAAACAAACAAACAAACATATTTTTCTTCACTCTGTTTGTTGGCCAGACAGTGAGAATATTTTTCTTTTGATGGCTTATTTTAAGCAAAAGTTGTAGCAGAATTTTAAAATTCTTTTCTCTTTGTATTAGAAACAATTAACAGTCACATTTACCTCTCACACAAAGACTTTGACACACATATATACACAAAGACAAGAGAACAGAAAAGGAAACAGAACTTTTAGTTCTACACATCCTAGTCATTCTCACCACAAATCTCAGTTAACTCAAGTTAGGGAAGGCATAAATCTTAAACATACCACATGGTTGCATAGAAGAAGAGAGAGAGAATCACTATTTCTTATACTTTATTTTTCCTTTAAGTACCTTTATTTAGCCAAATTGGTTTCCTAGCAAAGCCCTGGGCAAAGTCCCCTTTTTTTTACATATTTCTCTTGCTCTTTGTTTTGAGCAAATATTCTAGGGGAGTCCAATTTGTCACCTTTGAACTGCTGCTTCCCATGTTCCCTCTCAGATGTGGGGCTCACTTTGGCTCAATCAGGTACAAAAGGAAAAAAAAACTTCTGGGTTTTTGAACAAAAAGCGTCCAGGAGGACTTCAGTTCCCTGATGAAGTACCCTCACCTCCTTCCTTGGGAACTACCTATCATGGTTTTCAGACTCCTCATGAGTCCAGGAGGACCTGCCACTTTTTTAAAAAAGCAGTGAGTACTGATACCTTCTTTCCAACTACTGGTTTTCAGACTCCTTGTGAGTCTGGGAGGACCTGCTGCCTTTTTTTAAAAAAAAATGGTGAGTACGAGCACCTCCTTTCCTGCCACCAGTTTTCAAACCCCTTGCGGATCTGGAAGGACCTGCTGCCCCCTACACAGTGAGTACAGGCACCTTCTGAACTAGGCTTTGTTTCCAGGGCCTTACCAGCTGGTTGCCTAAATCCAATTCTCTCATTCACTCATTCCATTCCATTTTCACATAGCCTCTCCCTTTTCCCTAACAAAAGGTCCTGTGATCTGGCCAAACCCCCATGCTTTCCAGGGTCTGCCACTTGAACAGATCCTTTCTGTGGTTAGGAAAGACCAGAAGGAGCAAAATCCAAGTGTGATTGGGGGAAAAAGGGTCTTCTCACTCACACACACAGACATACACACATTTCCTTTGTTCTCCTGGGCTTTAAAGTTAAAATTTAGAGGTACTCACCTTCACCTTCTTTCCAAAGCAGCCCCTGAGCTCAAACTCAAAACTCCCTTTACTACCCTGGCTCCACATGGGCAGGGCCTGGGAAACCCATCCACAGACACAAGGGGTCTGCTGCCAGCAAGATGGGGCTTACCAGTCTCAGTCCATTAGAGAGATTAGCTTGGAGTCCCATTCTGCGGTGCCAAATTGTTGGAAGAAAAGTCTTCATCATGTCCAAGCGGGTGATAAACAACATGGCGACTGCTTTAGAAAGAAGGTTGCAGTTTATTGAAGAGGAGAGCCAGACAAAAAGATGGCTCTGGCAGAAAAGAGGAAAAAGGGGCTCAGCACATGTAGGGAGTGTGTTTTTATACCTTCTGGAGCCTTTTGTTTGGAGGTTATTTCCTGTTCCTGTTTGAGGCTTTGTATTTCCTGTATCATGTATTTTGACCTGTGTCCCTTTGGCATCTGTGAGTTAATCCTATTATGTTCTGTCTTTGACTTTGGGTGGGGTATGTAGATTTTAGGCGTCTTTGTCTTCCTAAGCTTCTAGCTCCAACTTTCCTGAATGGTCTGCATCTGCATTTCTATAGAGCTGATTTCTGCTTGGGGGAGGCAGACCTGAGGCTATTAAGAAAAACTGGGCATGCTTTTCTGCCTCTTTAAAATCCTTTGAGGAAATATATTTTTCTGCCCTTTTAATATTTCCTTCTCTGGGGGGGGGGGGGTGGCTGACTTCCCACAAACTCAAGTTGAATCAATTTATATGTTAATTTATGTAAGTATGTATTGTTTCTTTGGCTTCATAGATGTCATTCTGTGTGCCTCTCCTGTAACATCCTTAAAAATGGAGTTTTATTATTGCTTATTTTGGGCTATTAAGGACTAATTATAATCAGGGCTCCTTATTTCTACCACTTATCAAACACAGGATCATCTTGTTATAATAACAGTAGAAACTCAACAAAGATATCAAAACTGATAAAGTGTATTCTTGGTTATATGTCTATACTGTAATGTCTCCCTTTGTGACCTTCTTGTGTCTTTATCACTTATAAAGCAATTGATTCTGTATTGGGGATCTGCTGCTAGTATGTGCACATGTTCAAACTGTAATCAATACATTACATACAATCAATATAACAATATTATGTGAGAGCTATGTAAACTCACATCTCTAGGTCCTGGGATTTTTTAATTGAAAGAGAGCAGAGACTTGTAACCTCCAAACTTTAGAGTAATAAAACAATCTTTGCATTTTGTTACATTATTTTGCCATGATGGTAGGATTAGCCCAGAAATGTAACATTCAATTAGCATACAAGTAGTCCTTACTTACCTACTACTTTGTTTAGTGATTAAAGCTACAACACTGTAAAAAGAAAATAGTTTTGCTACTGATCCTTGCAGAATGCCTTTATGAGTATCACAGTGGCATTGTGGTATTCCATGACCATGAGTCTAACATTCAAGTGCTTCATAACTGGCTTATGACAAGTAGAGCTAATAGAGAAAGCAGTAGTAAAATTGTATATCATGTTCACATGATGTCTTGCTTTAAAATCATAGTGATTTGCTTAATGACCAAAGGAAAATGGGGTTGTAAGCCCATCACAGTCACCAGATCAGCCTTTCATTTCTATTAATACTTAAATTCAGATCCACTTTCTTGATTGGAATTTATTTATATTATTCATTGTATTGGGCTCCCAATGACTGTGAAGAATACTTCCCTGCTATTGGTACTTAAAAAGCTGTTATGCATCTCTTATCTAAATAAGATACAATAAACAAATGGCATTGCAATATTAATTTGCTGGTTTGGATCACAAACATTATTTTTATAAGCCCTATGATGGTTTCTTTGTACTTATGCAAAGATCAATTAAGATGGTAGTTTGATTTTTCTGCTCTATTAATTGATTAGTTAGAGGGCTTGTATTGAAAAGGACTTTTACTGACAAAGCTTTACAACTGATATGCATGTTCTTGCTTTGCAGAGACCCACAATGTGGCTGGTTTGGGTGGTGATATGCTTAATCCAACAAGCAGTGACCTCAGAAAAATCTATAAATGGAAGACATTTGAATCCTGAACATTTGATGAACATAGTAAATTGCTCATCTAGGTGGTGGTAAAGGGGAAGGGGTCCTCATGATTTATTCAGCCAGATTCTCAAGAAAAAGGGTTGAATTGACAGAAGTTCCTGACTTTTTGGTTATTCTGGGAGACAGTTTTGAAATGTATTATTCAACTTCCATTTCCAGATTAATTGAGTAACTAACACTAAAAAAAACCCTCTTTTTTATGGCCCTTAAACACCTTAAGCACTACACCAAACTGGCTCTTTTGCAAGACACATAATCAATGATCTATTACTGCTTTTGAAACAATTTAATCCCAGCATGTTATAATCTCCACAACATATGAATGTAATCCCTTAATTTAGGGTAGAGTCAGGGTGACTGGATGGAGCTAAGTGTTTATTGTCTGAGTTCACAGCAGATATTTTTTCCAAACATCCGCCACTACCTAAGATTGAACTCTCAAACGTCCGAGTGGGGAAGTGAGTGTCTTCACCACTAGGCAACCATGCTGCTTGATTAAATCATACTGACCATCTTAAAAGGGCATATCATCATTATGGCAATAGTACTGAAACACCCACTGTAAATTGTGTTTCTTTTACAATTCTGTTTGTGAAAACAAAATTGTCTGCCCTATCTATCCAAACACTTTATGTTTGGCTAGACAGGGCACAACTACTTTGGAGTATAGAAAATATGTTGCCGGCTTGGCATTAACTTCTAGTTCAGGGAGATCCCACTGTGCACAAAGGGAAAAATTATACCAGTATTTAAGATATGTGGAGTTCAGCTTCCAGAATTCCCCAGCCAGCATGGGAAGGTTCATACATGTACAAGTTGCCAAGTTTGAAAAACATTAGATTATACCTTCCTATTTCTACATAATGGGAAAGTATTGGGCAAGGAAGAGAAGGAGTACCTTCATCTAGTAAAAAAAACAGAGACAATATTTAGATAGTGACCAGTTATTTAAAAAAAAACATTTGTCACATTATGAATAGTTAGAGTAGTAATGCTACTGAATACTACCTAGCTTTTTCAAGGCATTGTTGATTCATTTTTTTCCTGCAGAGTGAAATCATTCAGTATTGGGGATACCCTAGTGAAGAGTATGAAATCCTGACAAGTGACGGCTATTATCTGAAAGCAAACAGAATTCCTAATGGAATACACAGTCCTGAAAAGACAGGTATTTTGGAGATGAATGATTAGTATGGTTATATTTCTAAGGCAAATGTCTGCTAGATTCACTGTACTAATACAAGTCAGGCGGTCAGGGAAAAGCATTTTCAATGTCATGAAATGAGAAGTAAAAATATGAGAAAGAGAAGGAATAGTGTGGACAAGGTCAGGTCTGATGTCCTTTAATTATATTCTGGTATATTTAATTTGGTGTCCTTCTATTAGAACTTAATCTGTCATTAATCCAAATGACCAGTGATTTCTGTCTCCACTTGTTTGCAAATGTTTGCACTGAAATCGCTCAGAATGTAAACTATGTATTTTTGAACTTGTTCCATAGTTTCTTGGACCATAGCATAAAAGTCCTCTATTTCAAGTTCTGTTGCAGCAGTCATTGGGGCATAGATTTGGATAATTGTGATGCTGAGTGGCTTGACATAAATTCTGATGGTCATTTTTCATTCACTGACTTTTTAAGAAGCTTTTCACTGCTCTAGTTTCTTGCTTACAATAAAGACTACTCCATTTGTTTTCCTGGTATCATGTCCTGAATAATAGACAATGAAGTTCTCAGATTGCAAAAAGCCATTGTCCAACCATGTAGTTCATTGACATCCAGGAGATCAATTTCCAACCTGATCATCTTTGACAATATTTAATTTCCCCTGGCTCATTCCTTTGATATTTCACATGGCTATCCAATCTATCTCTGTATAATGCAGACATTTGTTTATGTCACTGGCTGTGTTAGCAACTTGGATTCCTGTCCATTGGGCACCCTATCTGACATGTTTGAAACCCTTTGCTTAAAATGTACTGATGAGTCTCACTAAGGCTTCCATTTCACAAACAATAGCAACACTAACTTTTCTCATAACAACTTTCCAATAACTGAAGTGAAACAATAGGTATTAAAGAATACATCTGAGCTTCTAGCCATCTATTGGCAATTTATAAAATTGCAAGCATTACTTTTCATTCAGCCTTCATACATTTATGCTCATATTCAGCCTCAAGGTTTCATAGATATTATAAAGATAGAATTGTGATGTTCCATGTTTATAAAAAGACAATGTTCCTTACTAGAATGATCCTTAAATGATATAATATTTAAGGTTGCTTATTTTCAAGGGCCTAAACCAGCTGTGTTACTGGTATCTGGTTTTGTGACTGAAGGAAGAAGTTGGCTCATCAATCTTCCCAGAAATAGCCTGGGATTTGTTCTAGCAGATGCTGGCTATGATGTTTGGATAATAAATAACAGAGGAACTACCTGGTCTAGAAGACATCAGAACTTAACAATTGACCAAGAAGAATTCTGGAATTTTAGGTAAACTCAGAACAGCTTATATAGTAAATAAATAAAAGCAGTTTTTTTGCCAGAGAAATGGGTCAGGTTTTGTAGAATGAGAGATGTATCCTTTAGTAACTTTTCAGATTGTATTATATATTCAGAATGAATTGTCGGATTCATTGGATTTATGACACTAATTTAGGGAGCCCATCAGAACATAAAGATATTTTCCTCCAGTTTCAATATCAGTTATTCATTAAGGTTTCTCAGTAATTCAGACTTTATCACTAAAATGTCATTTGAAGCATGCAGAATGTGGATGTACTGCCTATCTGCAACACTTTAAAGTAGCTGCATTGCACATGCCTGTATTTTTTCCCAGGAAAGGAAAAGGTGTTCCAGGTGCTATGAAGATCAAAATGCATGGGAGCACTTTGCCTCCTAGTGTCAATAAATTAGTGTTAAACTTTAATGTATATTAATAGCAAATGAAATATTAAATTGCAATTAGTATATGAGACCCAGCTTGGTTTAGGGATGAACAGCTCTGGACTAGAAGTTGGAAGATCATGAGTTCTAGTTCTTCCTTAGGCACAAAAGTCCACTGAGAAGAAGTTGATGGGAAACCATTTGTGAACTGTTGCAAAGAAAATGGTCCATGTACAAGTAGTCCTCAACAGTTACAACAGTATGTTTAGTTACCGTTTGATGTTACAACACTGAAAAAAGGGACTTATAACCGTTTTGCACATTACAACCTTTGATCCCCAAGGGCATTTGATCAAAATTCAGACACTTGGCAACTGACTCATATTTATGATGGTTGCAGGATCCTGGGGTCATGTAATCACCTTTTATGACCTTCTGACAAACAAAGTCAATGTAGAAGCTAGGTTCACTTAACACTTGTATTACTAATTTAATTACTGCAGCAACTCACTTAACAACTGTGTCAAGAAAGGTGATAAAATGGGGCAAAACTCACTTAACAAATGTCTCAATTTTGGGCTCAATTGTGGTCATAAGTCGATGACTAGCTGTAGTCATCAGTAGTCAAAGTTGGTTTGAAAGACCACAATAAATTCTATGAAGCCAAAATTGCATCATGTATACAAAAGAGGAAGGTGTGCCTAAAAAAATCAGCTGTTTGAAGAAGTACATTTTTAGGAGGAAACAGATTAAGAGAAATAAACAGAAAAAACTTCATACAGGTTCAACAAACTCAATTACAAAATTCTGGCAAAGCAAATAGAAAACGACGAAGGAGAGAGAACAGAAGAGAGTACAATGTCTTAAATGGAAGCAAGATTGATCCCTGACTTGTTCTTAATTATTAAGGCAAATCCTATACAGCATGGAGAATTTAGAGCCCTCAGTTTTTGCTAAAGTGTAGCATAAGGAAGACTCGGCCATGTATCATTTTAAAAAATGAGCAATTTGATAATGAAACAATTAAAAAAACAGCTACTACTTTGCAAATCTAATGGGGTTAGTTTAAGTAAAGTGCCAAACATGAAATTAAAAATTAGTTTTCTTCACTCCTATGCTGTCTATGCAATACAAACAGGTCAGAAACCAGGAGATTCAATCCCACCTTAGCCATGAAAGCTGGCTGAGTGACTTTGGGCCAGTCATTCTCTCTCAACCCAACTTGAGTTGTTGCTGTTGTAGTAGTTGATATTGGCAAAATAAGAGGAGGAAGGAGTGTGAGATATGTTCACCATCTTAAATTATTTTTTAAAAAACAACAAAGGCAAGATTAAAAAAAACCTTGCAGGCTTCTGATTTTTTACCCTTAACCAGAATAAATCTCAACAGTATTTTGTGTCTTTGCTTGTGTCCCTCTATTACAGTTTTCATGAAATGGCAATTTATGATATTCCTGCAACTATAAACTTTATACTACATAAGACAAAGCAGGATAGTTTATATTACATTGGTCATTCTCAAGGAGCTTCATTGGGTAAGTTAAGAATGATAATCATATTTCATCTTTGCATCTTTCTTTGCATCAGTCAATGATTAATGCATTATGGAATCATAGCTGTTTAATGATCAGTAATATATTTACTAATCTATTGTGAAATATATGCCCAAAAGAGGCATAAGAGGTTAAAATATAATAGTCTCTTGACAGCAAGAATTCTGTCTTGAATTCTTGAAACATAGATAGGGAACAGAGTTAGAGAAGATGATAAATGCAAATAACTGATTTCTTTCTTTCTCTTTTCCCCCCTGAAAGATGCTGCAGTAGTGAGGAAACTAATCCAGTCATGAATATAGGCTGTAGGGTCTATTAGAGGCATGGCAGAAATGTAGGGAAAGGATGGGGATTGAAAATTTAACCTTTGAGTTAGGCAAAATGTGGATAGCTTTGTGAGACTGATCACAAACATTGCACTTGGTCTTCTGATATTAACCACCCAACCAAATAGAATTTGGTGGCCCTTGGCCCTTGCTGAAGATAATGAGATTATCTTTAGCATTTAACTATGAGATATATGGGTGCAAGCAAAGCCTTCTCATATCCTTTTATTAGCCTTCTCTCTACCGATTATCTAAGAGCAAATATCTCACCTTTCCAACCCTGTCCTATTTTAGTTATATCCCATTAATTCACAACTCTTCTAATCCAGAATTCCTTCATATTCCCAATCTTCAATCTTCAAAGCAAATCAATCCAATTTGGATATTCTGCTGCAGAGAAAAGAAAGTCACTTTTATAAAAACAATAATAAGATGAGGAGGAGGAGGAAGAAGAAGAGGAGGATAGCTGACATTTTCTTGCAAGTTTATCCTTTATGTATCTATCAATCTTGGAACAAAACAAGTACCGTATATACTCGAGTATAAGTCGACCCGAATATAAGCCGAGGGACCTAATTTTACCACAAAGAACTGGGAAAAAATGGTGACTCGAGTATAAGCCTAGGGTGGGAAATGAGGCAGCTACTGGTAAATGTAAAACAGCAGAGCATATCGAGCAGTTGTTTTTCAACTGAAAGCAGAATTGTAGTTGTAGTCGGATTA